CAAAGAAAAAATCACATGAGATAAAAAAGAACATTTAACCACAGTATAGAGAACATACAGTAGAGCCACTACATTGAATTTTTTCGTGCCGCGCATATCTTATTACGCATGTGATTACCAATTGCCAGCCAGTAAATTGCATTGTGTGACCAATAGGATTGACGATATGGCAAACGGCAGCCAGTAAACTAAGAACCTGTTCACATGAGCCAGGTAACAGGGATTCGGCGAAGCGTAAAATGATTTTAAGTCATTGAAAAGAGTTAAAGCTTTAAGCGCAAAATTTATAACCTTTCTTAAGCGTCATAAGTCATTTTAGTCGTAATTTTCAAATCAAGCTAAATTATTTGTCTTCGTTTTAAAGGTTTTGTGAATTTCCAAAGTCATAGTACAGAGAAATTACTCAAGATTTTTGTTGTGAAGTATTTAATCTTTTCCATTTGCCAAAATGTTTTAACGCTTCGCTAAATCCCGGCTACCGGGCTTGTGAACAGCCCCTAATTTAATATACAGCAGCCAGTTGCACAGGGAAGTGGCCCTACTGTATATTCCTATACTGTGATTTAACTCACTCTAAGCATTTACTTTTTGAAATCGTAAATGCGCTCTGTGGGTGTTTTTTCCCTTACTGGTACCACTAATCTTTTAAATTTGCCTACTGAGGCTCAACTACAATGTGTTTCTCGTCGTTACTACACATCTGAGATAAGCATTATCTTATTTTCATTACATTCTTTACTCTTGTGTCTGCAGTGTTTTTTTATCATAAGTAATTATAATTCCGTGTAGATGGAGTTTGAAAATTATTAATAATTTACAATGGTTTATTAAATAACAAAGATTTTTTATAATATGGAATGACTTATGCAATAATCTAGTTGTATGGAAATTTGATTAATGAAATGAGAAAACATTTGCATTTACGAAAACCGTGTCTTAAGCATGGGCATTCAAATCCTGTCTTAGTTGATCCTCAACACCTAAGTTAAAACTTGTGAAACTTTATTACATTTAGCACTAGTCCTTTGGAATTTGACTAATCTCAATGTTATTATATACTCTGCATGAGGTTCTTATTTATGTATTTCTATTTCTATAACAAATGTTTTTAGTCAGTGATGTATACTTAGTTATATAACTAGAATGTTCTACATAGATGTCATTAATGTGTTTTAATACTGCTTGTTGAAAGAGATTCTGACGCACTCTTCATCTTCGTTAGCTATTTAAAAGTGTTTATGTGGCAAAACTGATAAGGATAAAAGATTGATGTTACAATATGGTATGAATTATGATTACCATTCTTAAATTGATATGTATATGGTCGCGTTCTTTATATTAAATTTGTCATCTTTGTAAGGTATGTGACATGTAAAGAAATAAAGCAAGCATAATTTTGTTCACACGATCGTCTTACTTCTAAAACGGAAGTAATTTTAGAAAAATTAATCGATATTTTAGAACTACATTACGGACATAACAAATTAGCTAAAGCAGCATCTGGATAAAGTATGACTAAACATGCATGAGAAATCATATCTAAATTCATATACCAACTTTCTAACTATTGACAATAAGATGCATGGTAAAGGAAAGCAAGACTTGTTCAAAGGTATGGGAGAGGTGAAATAGCATACTTGTCTATGGAAAAAATGGGAATCTGTGAAAATTTATGTAGGGAGGATAGCATGTCCAATCATGCATCACCTCCCTTCTTTGCTGAAGCCCCTTTTACTAATCTCTGTGTGTCTAGCAAAATGTTGATACAGGTAATCAACAAACCATTTCTTTTAAAGGTAAGAAAATTTCAAAAATAAGCAAATGTTTAACACAAGAAGAATGTATTTACACAGAGGAAGAACGCAACCGAATCTATTTTTGTGAAATGTTGATTCATGCAACACAGTTAGCTTTTATAATTATACTTTTGATCATTTTTGTTTAACAGTTTTAAGGTTTACTTTTATTCCATCCTTTACTGTTGTATCTACAGTGTTTTTTATTGGTCATATAAATAATTACAATTTCGTGCAGCTGATGTTTGGAATGTATTCATGATTTACAAAGTTTCATTTAATAACAAAGATTTTTTATAATATGAACTGACTTATGCAAGAATATACATGTATGAAATTTTTGATTAATGAATGGAAGAAGTCCGTTCACAATTTTGAAAATCGTGTCTTAATCATTGGCATTCAAATCCTGTCTTAGATAGGTGACTCTCTATTCCTGAGTTAAAACTTGTGATACTTTATAAGATTTAGCAGTAGTCCTTTGGAATTTGACTATTCTTAATGTTATTATGTACTCTGCATGAGGTTCTTATTTATGTATTTTTATTTCTATAACAATTGTATTTAGTCAGTGATGTGTACTTAGTTATATAACTAGAATGTTCTACATAGATGTCATTAATGTTTTATAATACTGTTTGTTGAAGGAGATCCTGACTCGCTCTTCATCTTCGTTTGCTATTTAAAAGTGTTTATGTGACAAAATTCACAAGGATAATAGATTGATGTTACAATAAGGTATGAACTTTCATCACCATTTTTATTGTTATATGTATGTGGTCGCGTTGTTTATATTAAATCTCTCATCCGTTTGTTGAGTATGTGACATGTAAAGAACTAAAGCAAGCATAATTTTCTTCACACGGTCGTCTTACTTCTGAAATGGAAGTAATGTTAAAAGAATTAAGTGATATTTTAGAATTACACTACAGACATAACAAATTAGCTAAAGCAGCATCTCGATAAAGTATGACTAAATATGCATGAGAAATCATATCTAAATTTATATACCAACTTTCTAACTATTGACAATAAGCTGCATGGTAAAGAAAAGCAAAACCTGTTCAAAGGTATGGGAGAGGTTAAATAGGATACTTGTCTACGGAAAAAATGGGAATCTGTAAAAATTTATGCAGGGAAGGGCACGTGCCCAATCATGCATCACCTCCTTCTGCTGACGCCACTTTTGACTAATCTCTGTGTGTCTAGCAAAATGTTGATAGTTGTATACAACAAACCATTTTTAAAAGTAAGAAAATTTGAAATATAAGCAAATGTTAAACACAGGAAGAATGTATTTACACAGAGAAAGAACGCAACCGAATCTATTTTTGTGAATTGTTGATTCATGCAACACAGTGAGCTTTTAAAATTATAATTTGATCTTTTTTATCTAGCAGTCTTAAGGTTTAATTTCATTGCATCCTTTTCTGTTGTATCTACAGTGTTTTTATTGATCATAAGTAATTATAATTCCGTGCAGTTGATGTTTGCCATGTCTTCATAATTTACAATGGTTTATTCAATAACAAAGGTTTTTTATAATAAGAACTGATTTATGCAAGAATATACATGTATGGATTTTTGATTAATGAAGGGAAAAAATCCATTCACAGTTTCAAAATTCGTGTCTTAATCATTGGCATTCAAATCCTGTCTTAGATAGGTGACTCTCTATTCCTGAGTCAAAACTTGTGAAATTTTATAAGATTTAGCAGTAGTCCTTTGGAATTTGACTATTCTTAATGTTATTATGTACTCTGCATGAGGTTCTTATTTATGTATTTTTATTTCTATAACAATTGTATTTAGTCAGTGATGTGTACTTAGTTATATAACTAGAATGTTCTACATAGATGTCATTAATGTTTTATAATACTGTTTGTTGAAGGAGATCCTGACTCGCTCTTCATCTTCGTTTGCTATTTAAAAGTGTTTATGTGACAAAATTCACAAGGATAATAGATTGATGTTACAATAAGGTATGAACTTTCATCACCATTTTAATCTGATATGTATGTGGTCGCGTTGTTTATATTAAATCTCTCATCCGTTTGTTGAGTATGTGACATGTAAAGAACTAAAGCAAGCATAATTTTCTTCACACGGTCGTCTTACTTCTGAAATGGAAGTAATGTTAAAAGAATTAAGTGATATTTTAGAATTACACTACAGACATAACAAATTAGCTAAAGCAGCATCTCGATAAAGTATGACTAAATATGCATGAGAAATCATATCTAAATTTATATACCAACTTTCTAACTATTGACAATAAGCTGCATGGTAAAGAAAAGCAAAACCTGTTCAAAGGTATGGGAGAGGTTAAATAGGATACTTGTCTACGGAAAAAATGGGAATCTGTAAAAATTTATGCAGGGAAGGGCACGTGCCCAATCATGCATCACCTCCCTTCTTACTGACGTCACTTTTGATTAATCTCTGTGTGTCTAGCAAAATGTTGATAGTTGTATACAACAAACCATTTTTAAAAGTAAGAAAATTTGAAATATAAGCAAATGTTAAACACAGGAAGAATGTATTTACACAGAGAAAGAACGCAACCGAATCTATTTTTGTGAATTGTTGATTCATGCAACACAGTGAGCTTTTAAAATTATAATTTGATCTTTTTGTTTAACAGTTTTAAGGTTTACTTTCATTGCATCCTTTACTGTTGTATCTACAGTGTTTTTATTGATCATAAGTAATTATAATTGCGTGCAGTTGATGTGTGATATGTATTCATGATTTACAATGGTTTATTCAATAACAAAGATTTTTCTATAATAAGAACTGATATATGCAAGAATATACATATATGGAATTTTTGATTAATGAAGGGAAAAATCCATTCACAGATTCGAAAATCGTGTCTTAATCATTGGTATTCAAATCCTGTCTTAGATAGGCGATTCTCTATTCCTGAGTTTAAAACTTGTGAAACTTTATAAGATTTAGCAGTAGTCCTTTGAATTTGACTAATCTCAATGTTATTATGTACTCTGCATGAGGTTCTTATTTATGTATTTTTATTTCTATAACAATTGTTTTAGTCAGTGATGTATACTTAGTTATATAACTAGAATGTTCTACATAGATGTCATTAATGTTTTATAACACTGTTTGTTGAAGGAGATCCTGACTCACTCTTCATCTTCGTTCGTTATTTAAATGTGTTTATGTAACAAAACTCACAAGGATAAAAGATTGATGTTACAATAAGGTATGAACTTTCATCACCATTTTTAATCTGATATGTATGTGGTCGCGTTGTTTATATAAAATCGCTCATCCGTTTGTTGAGTATGTGACATGTAAAGAACTAAAGCAAGCATAATTTTGTTCACACGGTCGTCTTACTTAAAACGGAAGTAATTTTAAAAATTAAGCGATATTTTAGAATTACATTACCGACATAACAAATTAGCTAAAGCAGCATCTAGATAAAGTATGACTAAACATGCATGAGAAATCATATCTAAATTGATATACCAACTTTCTAACTATTGACAATAAGCTGCATGGTAAAGGAAAGCAAAACCTGTTCAAAGGTATGGGAGAGGTGAAATAGCATACTTGTCTATGGAAAAATGGGAATCTGTAAAATTTATGTAGGGAACAATCATGCATCACCTCCTTCTGACGCACTTTGACTAATCTCTGTGTGTCTAGCAAAATGTTGATATTGTATCAACAAACCATTTTAAAAGTAAGAAAATTTGAAAATAAGCAAATGTTAAACACAGGAAGAATGTATTTACACAGAGAAAGAACGCAACCGAATCTATTTTGTGAAATGTTGATTCATGCAACACAGTGAGCTTTTAAAATTATAATTTGATCTTTTTTATCTAGCAGTCTTAAGGTTTAATTTCATTGCATCCTTTTCTGTTGTATCTACAGTGTTTTTATTGATCATAAGTAATTATAATTCCGTGCAGTTGATGTTTGCCATGTCTTCATAATTTACAATGGTTTATTCAATAACAAAGGTTTTTTATAATAAGAACTGATTTATGCAAGAATATACATGTATGGATTTTTGATTAATGAAGGGAAAAAATCCATTCACAGTTTCAAAATTCGTGTCTTAATCATTGGCATTCAAATCCTGTCTTAGATAGGTGACTCTCTATTCCTGAGTCAAAACTTGTGAAATTTTATAAGATTTAGCAGTAGTCCTTTGGAATTTGACTAATCTCAATGTTATTATGTACTCTACATGAGGTTCTTATTTATGTATTTTTATTTTTATAACAATTGTTTTTAGTCAGTGATGTATACTTAGTTATATAACTAAAATGTTCTACATAGACGTCATTAATGTGTTTTAATACTGTTTTTTGAAGAATCTCCTGACTCACTCTTCATCTTCATTCGTTATTCAAATGTGTTTATGTAACAAAACTCACAAGAATAAAAGATTGATCTTACAATAAGGTATGAACTTTCATCACCATTTTTAATCTGATATGTATTTGGTCGCGTTGTTTATATCAAATCTTTCATCCGTTTGCTGAGTATGTGACATGTAAAGAACTAAAGCAAGCATAATTTTGTTCACACGGTCGTCTTACTTCTAAAGCGGAAGTAATTTTAGAAAAATTAACGACATTTTAGAATTACACTACAGACATAACAAATTAGCTAAAGCAGCATCTCGATAAAGTATGACTAAATATGCATGAGAAATCATATCTAATTTTTATACCAAATTTCTAACTATTGACAATAAGCTGCTTGGTAAAGAAAAGCAAAACCCGTTTAATGGTATGGGAGAGGTGAAATAGCATGCTTGTCTATGGAAAAATGAGAATCTGTGAAAATTTATGCAGGGAGGGTCACGTGTCCAAACATGCATTACCTCCCTTTTTGCTGACGCCACTTTTGACTAATCTCTGTGTGTCTAGCAAAATGTTGATAGTTGTATACAACAAACCGTTTCTTTTAAAAGTAAGAAAATTTGAAAAATAAGCAAATGTTAAACACAAGAAGAATGTATTTACACATAGAGAGAACGCATCCGAATCTATTTTTGTAAATTGTTGATTCATGCAACACAGTGAGCTTTTAAAACTATAATTTGATCTTTTTTATCTAGCAGTCTTAAGGTTTACTTTTATTGCATCCTTTACTGTTGTATCTACAGTGTCTTTATTTGTCATAAGTAATTATAATTGCGTGCAGTTGATGTTTGACATGTATTTATAATTTACAATGCTTTATTTAATAGCAAAGGTTTTTTATAATAAGAGCTGACTTATGCAAGAATATACATGTATCGAGTTTTTGATTAATGAAGGGAAAGTCCATTTACAGTATCGAAAATTTTGTCTTAATCATGGATATTCAAATCCTGTCTTAGATAGGTGATTCTTTATTCCAGAGTTATAACTTGCGAAACTTTATAAGATTTATTAAAAGTCCTTTGGAATTTGACTAATCTTAATGTTATTATATACTCTGTATGCGGTACTTATTTATGTATTTTTATTTCTATAACAATTGCTTTTAGTCAGTGATGTATACTTAGTTATAGAATAATAATGTTTGTTGAGGGAGATCCTGACTCACTCTTCTTTGTTCGTTATTTAAATGTGTTTATGTAACAAAACTGATATGGATAAAACGTTGATGTTACAATAAGGTTTAAATTATGATCACCATTTTTTTAACTGATATGTATGTAGTCGCGTTTTTTATATTAAATTTCTAATCTTTTGTTAAGTACGTAACATGTAAAGAACTAAAGCAAGCATAATTTTGTCCACACGATCGTCGTATATGAAGTCTTAATTCTAAACCAAAGACAATTTTACGTAAGTTAACCGAGATTTTGTATTTACATTTCTAACTTAACAAATTTGATACCGAAGCATTGCGTAGTATGAAGCATTGCTATAAACAAATCAATGTTTATATCCATTCCAAATGAAAATCGTTTGAATGATTCTATAATTGACTTTCAAAGCTCTATTTAATACTAAAAATGGAAAGTAGGTTTAATTTTTTGTTTCAAATTATCCACTATAAAATTGCGGCTCTTACACGAAGAAAAGATTTGATAATAAATAATTCTGCGTGAGTGATGCGCTTGACATTCACAGAAGTTATGTCATAATGTGACATTTCTTTTTAAATATAATTAAACTTAAGTAAACAGTACAATGTACAAATGTAAAGTAAAGATTAGGTTCCAGTGGTCAAAATGAACGCCAGATAACGTACATATTTCATCATCATTCATTTTGCACGTAATTTATTCTTAGATGAACTTTTATTTAGCATGTGCACTGAGAAACTGAAATCAAGATACTTGTTTTGTTTTCCAACGTGTCTAACTGTTTTAGTTACTTGAATTAAATCGTGTAGCAACACAAAGTCGAGAAATTTCACTGACTGTCAGGCCAGGCCTGCCGTGAGGTGATAGGCAAGGGGGTATTTTGCCTTGGGACAGTAATATAATAGGGCCCGGCGCAGGGGCGGATCCAGCAATTTTCGTGACTGGTGCACCACTGCGAGCGCCAAAGGCGCTAGCTCTGTAGGGGGTCTGGGAGGATTCCCCCTCGGAAAATTTTATATTTTAGACCGTCGGAAATGCGATTTCCTGCGTTTTGACAACAGAATTTAAAAAAAATTGGCTTTAGTTTGTAAACTTTTCGCAAATTTCAATGATATAAAATCTAAACTTCCACTAACCTTTAAACATTTTCATTACTACTATCAGATTTATCAAGTTTCATACCTTCGCCAAAACTTACAATCAGGAAGGTATCATTCCAATCCACGAGTGATTTTGAAAAGATAGAAGCTTCGCATATTTTTTGTCGTGAAACGCAAAGAAACCTTTTATATCTCACAAATGAAGCACAAGTTTTTTACCATTAATCACACTTGGTATCACTCGTCCAACAGCACCGGAAAAGATACGTAGATATAGCAAAGAAATGTTCACGATGTAATCATCGTACTAAAGGCAGGCAACAAGTAATGATAAATGTTATTCTTCTTCTTTCATTGATAATATCACTCCTCCAACAGCAGAAAAAGATACGTAGATATAGCAAAGAAATGTTCATGATGTAATCATCGTACTAAAGGCAGGCAACAAGTAATGATAAATGTTGTTCTTCTTCTTTCATTGATAATATCACTCCTCCAACAGCAGAAAAAGATACGTAGATATAGCAAAGAAATGTTCACGCAGTTACCATCACTTCTAGTTCTACAGAAGCAATAAAAATTAGAAAGTCTATTGAATAAAATCACTATTGACTCCATGTTGATAAAGAAAAGCCTTTTAGGGGAACATTCATCAAGCCTTAAAGTGTAATTTTTTGGGTTACCTTTAACAATCCGTAAATATTTTTTTAGATAATTGAATCTAAGCATGGTAATGCCAGTGCTATACTTTCCCAACCAAATTCATGAGACCAGCTTTCAAGGGGAGTATAAGTACGTACCTAATAGCTAATACTATGTGCCCTCCTAGCTTTAATCAAATAGCAATGGTGAGGACTTCTATACATAAGGATCAGGATACACATATGCACATATGCAAAAATAAAATATGGTGATGTAATATACAATGAAATATGTTAAAGAATTACAATATAGAACTGTTGCTCTAGTATCTTTATGTATAGTGGGTAATTTTGAGATAATAATAATCATGTAAAGACAATACAGTAACATCAAATCTATGTAAATGAAATGCTTTGCTGTGTACTCACCCTTTTGTGATCATAATGTTTTATGGTAAATTTAGAAATTTGGCACACTGTGCATGATTATAAATGAGAGCATACACTCAAAAAAAACATCATCTTGTAAACTCATGATTCCAGTTATAACAGCAACAGAGAAGATTCAAAGCAATATTTCAACTTCATATGAAAGTCATTATCAAGCTAGGTGTGGAAGAAATAATAAGGAATTGTTGTGGCAGAAATAATATGTAATTACAGTTTGCTTTGCTAAATTTCAGGGAATTGACAATATTAGGCATGCAATATGAAAATGAAAAACTCTAATGAATAACATGGTTGGTCCAGCATAGCTCTTACATTCAACACATTGCATAGCTCAGAAAGTTAGTATTTATAAACAAGCAAAATGTATGAAAAATGTGCCCTCTCTGTCTGTCACATTGAGCACATATTACAACATATTACATGGAATATTTAAATATCTATGAAATATCCTGAAGAAATGTAATATTAAATAATTAGCTCTTATATTTTTATGTATATTTAGTAACTTTGAAATCACAATATCCATGTGAGCAGAATTAGAGTGGAGATTTCTCCAGGAAGTAAGTAGAGACTTCTACCAGTGACTTTGTTCCGAAGAAATCTCCAGTATAAATATGCAGGATTACCCAAATTCAAACATATAGTTGTGAATAAAATGTTTTGTGATCTTATGTTACATGACACTTTATAAACCTGGCACAACAACATGCATAATTATGTGCACACTATTTATGGCATAAATCCAAAGCATTGCATTATACTACTGGCTAAATTTCATTGAGCCAACAACATTGGACATGGAGTTTGAAAATTGACATTGTAAAATAGAATACAGTAAATTTCGATTTAATAGGTTAATGCAGGTCAGGATGCTTTGAAATTTAAATAAATTCAACAGGGAATAAACACCCAATGTGCCCCTTCCCATCATATTCCTAACATTAAAGAGAGTAAGCCATAAACATTGCATAAATACAAGTATAGACATATAGCTATGCATTACAATGTCAAGCATAGTAAGCAGTAAGCGCTTCAAGCTACTTACTTTAATTAAAGCCTGCCAATTATCTCCCATATGGTTAGGGATAATCAACTCTGCGTTAAGATCTCTCGCCAGCTTTCCTTTTCGAAACAGGTCTGTTTTAGTCGGAATGGCAGCAGAGACTATTGCTTCATAATCCTTTCTTGCAGAAGAAATCTCGCTGGTTTTACTGTCTTGAATCAATGAGCCAAAATCGTATATATGCCTACTTTCAGCCATGATGACTTCAAGATATAAATAAGCCAAATGCCATAAGTCATGTAATTATAATTTTGAAGGTTTGAAGATTTATAACGCTGGCTCAAGTGCACCAGTCAGAATGAAATTTTGGTGTTCGTGGGCTTAAGTGCAACAGTCAGCAGCGATTTCCCACCGTGACGTTGGCTAAAAAACAATGAAATCCGTGACGTTTAGGTGGTTCACTCGGCCAAAGAGACTCGGGACTGTTGCACCAACTGGTGCACTTTTTCCCCACCGTGACGTAGTGATTACAATCTAGCCACCGTGACGTAGAAATACAAATTCAGCTCAGTGTAGCTGGATGATGAAACAAATTTTCGCTAAAAATTTCGACACATAAAATCGCCATATTTAGCGACGCATTTTTTAATAATGCGGCTGTTATCAAAATGATACTCACATGTAAACAATCGACGAAGGTTTTTAACAATATTTCTCAATCATCAATGTACATTTGTTGTCAATATATTGTCAGTGTTAAGGTATTTAAAGCATTTAGAAACTATAAACGTAAACGTTCCAATCTGATATATTTCTTGCATTTTGCTCGTATTGATTGTTAGTTATAATACGTTGTGAAAGATTAACTATTCAATTTTATGACTGATGCACTCGCATCAGTTGCACCAGCCTGGATCCGCCCCTGGCCCGGCGCCTCCTCATTTGAACACGTGAAAATTGCAAAATTGAAGTTTATAAAAAAGTAATGAATGATTTGTGTATTATTTGTACTTGTCTTACGTTATCTCATCATGCAAAAGATATTCATCAATTGTTAAGTTTTTAGAAATTCTCGTAGCATCTTCAAACGGAATCACGCTTTAAGTGTTATCAATATGAGCAGGCATGTGGTTAGAATGTAAAATTTGGGGAATTAACAACATTTTTTTTGGGGGGGACAAATGTAGTCGTCAAGTTATACTGTATTATAACAATAATATAATTTATCACTAGTTAGTTTTTGTGGGTAACCGCTGTGCATGCGCGGCTAACCACTATGCCATACTGAAAAAGTGTCTGAGTGAGGCAGGCAGTGTTTGTTCGTCGTGATATCCTCGGCTGTGTCATCGGTGATAGTCGCTTATGCAAACGATCACGAATAGAATTTTTTTAAGTAAAGTCAATATTTATGTTGTTCTTCAATTACCTATGCTTTAGAGCGTATAATCTGCACTTTGTTTTAGTGACTATAGTCAAAACCTAGCGGCTGAAAATATCATTCATTTATACGCCTTACTGGTGATTACAGACGTCAAATTTATCTCGTTTGAGCAAAAAATGCAAGGAACTTGATACTCTGTGCAGTCCGCACTTGTATTTTGTTCTGTATTTTATTCATATGTCGCGTTGTTTATCTTTCACCCTGTGTTCTGTGTTTTAGTGAGGAAAAGTTAAAGCAGATAGGAGATATTTTTCTTTATTTTCAATTCAATTAGTAATGTTGACGATTTGGATTTAACAGATTGTCAAAAATGACGAAGAATTTAAATATATTATTAGAGTTAAGGTCCTATGGGGGAGTACTGCAGTTCAGCGGACACCTTGGACGCTGACCCAAACTCTACCCTATAATCACAAGCAAAAACAAGCCCGCGGTCACAAGCGCTTCGGGTGTCCGCTAAACTGCAGTCAAGCAAAAATTTAAATTGGAGCAGAATCATCAGCAATATAGTCCTATCAAAATGTTAATAAGCAAATATTCATACAACACAGCGAACCAGTTTGATATATCCTGTTAAAAGAACGACGTATCTCTTCACCACACGATTGT